CCTTAAGCAAGGCCCGGAGACCAAGACATTCAACGGAACAACGGCTTAGATATCGAGATGCTGGACTCTTGCATCAATCTCCCGACTCCCGACATATCCACGATCGCGACAACCACAGGCGCCGAGCGAAGTCAGTAACTCCCTCAACACACACAAGATCAGCATCGCCAACAGAATGGCAGTATTTGGCAGTGCATTCGCAGTAAAGCGGAGGGCCGCGCCTCTCTTCCGCCAGCGTCTTCTCCATTGCTTCAGAGGCTGCCCTGAGCACTATACGAGCAACCAGCACATACCGTTAGAGCAGGGCATGAGACCGGTGCCGCTGCGCCGCAAGCTCTGCTGCCAAGGAAGCCTTCTCGCTTTCCCAGGCCGCTCGCGCCTATCACCAGACGTGCAAAAAAGCCTGCGTCCTCAGCCTTGCGCTTTCGGACAAGGCCTTTTCGGCTTCCGCCGCTGCGGTCTGCGTGGCGCTCCTGCAGAAAGAGAAAAGACCCTGAATCCAGGAAGCTCTGGTCAAGTGCCGCCGACATCGGGTTTTTCGGTATATCGGGTCATCGGGCTTTGCTGGGCGCCGCGCTCTGCCTCGCCGACCTGGAGTGCATAGTGCCGGGCAAGGGAGTCAGCTCAGACGCAGACAGCCTGCGGAGCTTCCTCCTCGACCTGCCCGAATGCCCATGCTGCAATGCCAGGGCTTCTGATGAGTTTGAATTGCGAAACCGCACCTCCTCTTCGGCCTCGTCATCAATCATCTGCATCTGACTAAGCAAGTCCTGCCAGCACCAGCAAAGCACAGCAACAACCACTGCAACATGATCACAACACGTTGAAGATCAGCTTTCTGTGCTGTCACGGCCTGGCCCGCTGCCAAGCTAACGCTGTTCTTGTGAAGAGCAGGCGAGTCAAAGCCGAAAGCCCCATCCAAGGAGCCTTGACAAGGACACATGGGGCCTCGCCCACTGTGCCACATGACGAGAGGCGGGCTTCCGGGAGTCATCATCATGATCTGATCGTTGAGCTCTTGGGCCTGTCGGGCCCCAAAGGGGTGCCACCATTTTCCTCATCCCCTCTACTCACTCTACTCTTGGGCCTGCCGCTCAGCAGCCTGTCGATCGGCCTCGCTCATGTTCCGGAGCTCCTGCTTTGGGCAAGGCGGCCAAGGCTTCAGCCTTCACTGCAAGAAACCCCTCCTCCATTTGGCTGCAGACATCTGCATAGGCATCTGCATGCCTGGAAGCTCGCACTTTGCGCGCGCTGCACACATTCGCAAGCTCCGAGGCGTGGTCTGCTTCTTCTGCTGCTCGCTTTGGCTGAGGTCTTCGTGCAGTCGCCTTTAATTACGATTCGTTCGGCACACGGAACACGACACAAGGAATTCCAAGGCTCTCGCACGATCTCTTCCCTTGCTTCCTTCAACCGCTCATGAGCATCCTTCCAACGCTGCTTTGTTGCATGCCATTGCATGATATTGCAAGGGTACATCCGCGGCCGCCACACAGCAACCGCCTATCTAACGTCCTCCAGCCGTCGCTCTAGCGTGGACCTGAGCCTCTGTTCCTCAGGGCACGAAACACGGTCGACGTGAGCCTGCAAGCCGTACAGGGCGGAAACAGTTCCACCTGCCCGCTGACACGGATCCGAGGTCAGAGCCTTTGACAGCATCTCGCTCAAGGCCTCAAGGACTCTGGCTTGTGGTGCCCAGAGCCCAGACTGCAGGCTGGCCTTGTCATCCCTCATCTGCTTCTGCAGCAGAGTGACCTCACATCTCAACTGCGGGATGCAGATGATATGCAAGCTGCAAGCATCTGCAGCTAGCCTTGTCCTTCCAAACGTGAAGTCGGGTCTTGGTATCTTTGCCCTCCTCCTCAATGACACCGCACTTGCCTTGCCCCGGAGTCGCAGAGGCTACAGTCCTCAAACTTGCTTCCAGTCTTGTCATTGAGTTCTTGCAACCTCGATGAAGCAGCCATCGGCACGGAAAAGGCACTACAAAGATTTGAGCTGTCGGCGCGAGGATCTCTTCCTTCTGCCGAGCCATGGTGTGCTTCAACACTGTATTCTCATCGTCCAGGACCTCCGACCCAGGCTGATACAACCATCTCTGTCTCTCTTCAGAAAAGGCTTCCAGCCCTGCTTGCCTTGACACGCTCTTGCAATTGTTGGTTCTCCTGCATCAAGTCCTGCAAGCACTGAAAGGTCCGACTTCGCACTTTCACTGGGTCCGGGTCCAGCTCCTCCAGCTCCTCCTGTGTGTGCGAGTGGTCCTCAAAGTCATCAGCTCAGGGGTTCCCCTAAACCCTAAACCGGCTAAACCCTGAACCCTAAACCCTAAACCCAAACCTCCTGAGGTCTCAGGCCACGGCCAGCTGGCCTCGCCTCCCTGAACCTGACACGGCGGATCACGGCGGCCCCCCCATGCCCCGGCCCCGCAATGACCCACGCTGAGTTGAGACTCATGCGAGGATACATCGGAAAGTCTGCATCGTTCTCGAGCCTCAAGAGAGGCATTGTCAGATGAGATGCGTGATCTTGCATGATCTCGCATGTTCGTGGTCCCACGTGGCAATCACAAAGCGCGGCGCTCTTGCCGAAGGTCGTCATTCTCCTCCAGTAAACAACGACGAAATTCTCGAACATTGTGTTGCACAACCGCCTCCTGAAGCGCCATTGGCAGGGTTCATTCTAGCACAGCGTGTGCGCAGCGATGGTTGGCCAGAGATATCTGTTAGTATCTCTCAGTACGCCATGCTGCACGCACAGCACAGTTATATGATGCCGATGTCCCTTTTGTGCTGGATGCTTCATAACATGCAGGGCTCCCGGTCTGAAGCAGAAGCGGCAACGTGCAGACTGCGTCGAGCTACCGCGAGCCACAACCGGCGTCTGGGTCGGGAATTCAGCGAAGGCGCACCCCACGAGTGCTAGCTCTATAGCCAGCAGTGGCAGCAGCACCGTCAGAATGACCACGAGGGTCGTTGATGCATACCTGCCAGACTAGGCTCTCATTTCGACCTGGAACAAACGCTGACGAGAACTATGAATAACTTAATAACCACAGTGATATTATAGTGTCGACCCGTGGACTAGTAGTGTTGAGGCAAAGCACTCCATCCAGTCTCGGCTTCCTCTCCATCCAAGCCAGAAGGAGGCCATGCTGAGGAAACCGGAGAAAATGATCCTAGGAGAAAAGCGAACAAAATCATAGCGCAAACCACCCACGGGCAGGGTTCTTCGGGAGCCGACAGCGCACCCGTCACCAGCAGGATCGGCATCAGCATCACCGCCGGTGGCAGCCATGGACAGACAGACAGCCTGCGACGGTTCGCGAGAGCACAAATGCTGGTCTTGACTCGACCAGTGCCCAGCGCCTCAGGAAAAGGAGGGCGCTAAACCTCAGATCTTCGCAACACGGATTCTATAGTACCGTTCTGGCACTTTTTGCCGGGAACAGGGCATTCCAAGCGGTATCCACAGAAAGAGGCTGGAGCCGATGCAGCCTCAAGAACGGTTGGAGGCCGCCAGGCTGCCGGCTACGGTGTTTGCAGTGTCGAGCTCCGCGCTTGAGGAACAGGATCGCCGACGTAGGATGCTTGCGGCACACGTCCTTGAGCTTGGGCAGCGGCGGTGAAGTTACCTTTTTATACCGGGGCCCGGGCAGCACTGCGAGCCAGAACGAAAGGAAGGGCGGGAGGTAGACGAAGTGGGGCCTTCCCCAAACGAGCAGTCTTTGTCCGTGCACTGTCGTCGCGCTGAGGCTCCAGACCAAGGCAGCCGCAGGTCCTTCTCAAGAGAGGAAACAGCAGCAACCGTAGTAGTGGGCGCATTAACCGAGAAGATTTGGTTATTGAAGGTATGACTCGTCGACTGAAAGTTGGGACAAGGCACAGCTCGCTGATATGCCGATCTTTTTCTTCGCAAGGCTTATGGGCACGCCCCCGTAGGTGGATGCCTTTTGTTGACTGTGTGCATGGGTTCGGCCGGCAACGCCACAGACTGCTCGGAGGCAACACGGAGACAAGCGCTAACGACTTAGCCAAAAACCTACTAAAGGTGCAGTGCCACTTGTTTCTCGCAGCGCCAACTGCGCCGCCCGAGGGGCGAGTGCCAGTCGTAGTTTCAACTATTCTCAGAATATGCCTTCAAAAAGGTGGCGTGGGTGGGAAGTCGAAAAGGCGATCGAGCCGATCTACCCCAACTGCACAGGGCGCCGGCACCTACCAGGATGCCCAACTGTCTCTCTCTCTCGCTGTTCCTTCCTTCCTTCCTTCCTTCCTTCCTTCCTTCCTTCCTTCCTTCCTTCCTTCCACAGGGTTTGCGTCCGGCTGCCCGGACCCGCGCCTAGGCGTAGTTTCCGCGGGAAAGAAGCATTGGGGTCATGAGCGAAAGCAGCTTCCCATTTCGGTCGGCTTGTATGGCGAAGTACGGTGGTCGCTAAATCCCCCCCAACCCGGAACACGACGTGCATCCCGACCTCATCACTGCGCCCTCTAAGGCCAATCCTAGCTCACCGTACCCCCCAATCAAGCTGAGAGCGCTTCTACTGCTGTACTTACTGTAGTCTGGGGCCCTTGCAGAAGCAACACAAAAACAGAAACCGTGCAGAACTGACTACGGGGCCCTAAGCTGCTACCTCGAGTTTGGGCTTCACTTTCCCCCTTGCTCTCGGTACAGCGTGGGCGCAGTGTGGGCTGCGGTCTGCAGAAGCAACATGTTGAACACAAAAACTGAGCAGACCTGAGTACCAGGAATCCCCGCTCATTGTGGAGCTGCGGGGGTATGCTCGCGATTTCGTATCAGCACAATGCAACAAAGGATCATCAACCGTCTCTCTATTCTATTCTATTCTATTCTGCGGGGCATAGGGCGCTGTCCAGGCGCCCCGCGCCGAGAGGCGCACCCCTGTTTCGGGGCTTTGTAGGGGTAGTAGAAAAGTATGGATGCTCGGTTGTATCTCCTCTCTCCCTCTCTCTCTCCTCCGTGGTTTTCACAGGCGTGGGGAGCACCGTTGGGGCCGCCGCGGCCGACAGCAGGCGTTCCCTGCATAGACTCTAAGGCTCTGAGGGTTTTGAAAGGTGCTCTGGGGATAGAGGCAAAGGGAGCTTGGATGCGAGAGCAAAGCGACGCAATCTGGGCCTGGCTATCTGTGGCATGAGCAGGTAAGCTTGGGAACAATTTGCAACCCCGCAGAATCAAGAATGACCGGCTGTCGAGGGCGAGACTAGGTTCTCTGACCGAGCACGCATGTACGGTCCACCGTGAACGAACATGAAGCATGAAACGATCCAAAGCTGAAGATGTTTGAGCAGTGAAAATGAGTCTAGGCAGGAAGGCCGTGGCAACCGGGCGAGCGGCAACCGGGCGATTGGTACTCACACATCCAGAGTCAGCACTGACCGTCTCGGAGTCAAGGAATCGCAGATCACTACGCCTGCTGAGACGAACGGCCGCTGCTGGCGTCGCCCGAAGCTTCTTTGTGCAATCTGACAAGCTTGGGCCCGTGCAGCCGCACGGCTTCCGAGGGCTTCTCCGTTTCCTGCGAGTCACAGCGCTAAGGCAGTGACTCCCAAAGGCTGCAGAGAACATGGCAAAGACCCTGACACGTGGAACACTTTGTGCGACATGCCCACTCTTCGAAAGCTTGCAGGCTAGTCTCGAGTGATTTTAGCTCCTGCACGGCCGCAACATCAACTCAAGCATCATGATCAGAAGCACACACCTTGTCCGAGACTCCGAATTCTACCTTCAGACCCTGCGCACCGCGAGTGGCGCTTGCTGCAGCTTCCCGGTAGTCTTTGCGGGAAGTGCTGCAATCGACTGCCTCGACAGGAGGCAAAGCATATTCTGAGCCGTCCTACTGCCGCAGCAACGGTAGCAGTCACAGCAGCTGGACGGTTCGGCAGCAGCAGCAGCAACAGCAGTGATGGTGATGGTGATGCGGGTAGCCGTGTCAGGCAGCAGTCGAGAAGGGCCACAGCAGTCATGGGCCATGGGTTCTCACCGACATCAAGTGCCGAGAGCAAGCCGCCGCAACTGCGTCCACTGGCTGTTCACCTGCTGATGCATTTCGGAAGTAGGTGTGGCATCCTTACCCTGCCTCATCCTGTGGGAGCGCATTTGAAGCCTTCTCTTGTGTTTCTCCCAGAAGCGAGCAAGTGTCGTGAGTGCCGCGACGCTCCACCAACGCAACATATCGCAACTGTCAGATTGACGTGCGATGTCTCGACTCAAACGGATGCCACACCCACCCCAAATCAACTGGTTCTTCAGATCATCCGAACATGAAATGCCCGCACACCTCATGTGCCCCGGCTTGTTCGAAGCTCTGAAGCGGTGCATTTTGTACGCATGTGTGAGGAAAAGGAAGCCTCATGATTCACTGTGCTACCACGTGCCCGCGTCGAGAGACTTGTACGAACCATCATACAATCTATGCAGATCTATGCAGTGTTGATACCATGATCCTGTATGTACATATTCACAGGCCACTGCTTGTAGTAGTTTCCCGCCACATTCGCTGTCGTGGAAGCTATGCCATGATATGTGGAGAGATCGGAGAGTAGCGTGTGTGAAGAACGGCCATGCTACAGCCAGCTTTCAAAGCCATGGTCCAGGTTCGGGCGATTCCAACCGTGATGGAACAAAGGTCCACCGGCTTCGTCTTTCGGAAACCGCACGTTGTTCCGACATTCGCTTGCTTGTTCTAGCCTAGCCGTACAAGTACTAGAGGCATCTTGGTAAGGGATCTCGATGTCATGACTTTCGATTCGTGCAAAGAATCGACTTTCCAGGTTCCCGGCAGGTGGCCCATGTTTCTCGGAACGCAAATCAATGCTGGAGAGTGCAAACTCTTCCACCAGGTCTCTGAGGTGGCGGTCGTGAAATTACGGGTCCGTCTTGCCCTCTGGCAACGGAGATCGCAAGAACATCGTGGACTTAGGTCCGTGGCCCACATCTCTTCCGGTACTGCAACCCCACTGCAGTTCAGGCTCCAAGGAACACAAGACATCCACGCCAGCGCTTAAGTGAGGGAAGAATGGTGATTTTGAGACACATGCGAACAAAGCAGAGACAGTGCCTTGCCACCTGGAACATGGGAGCCACACCCTACTGTAACTCCCAATTAGACCCTCCTCGTGAATCAAGCATGTCCGCCTTTCTTGTGAGGAGTCGCTTGTACCTCGGCGGAGGTCTCTGAAGCTCTCTGTCAATTAGTTCTAACTTCCCAAAAGTGCCGTGCACTGCAATAGAACCACTCCGGCCTCCCCAGAATTCCTCGGCCGTAAGCTCGTGATCTTCCGGACGGTACGGCTCCTGAATGTCTGACCGAACTTTATGCTGCACACTTTACGCTTCACTCACCAGCAACTGCACGTGCCAACCCTGCCGACAGATGCACTGCTTTACAGGTGCATTCAAAGCGGTGATCCTGTCCTGAAGACAGGCATTCTCAAGAAGCCGACCAGCATCGACTAACTGTGAAGCATCGAAAGCCTCACAAATCTGATCAAATGTGTTCAAAGTGACTAGATCCTCTGCGAATAGAAGCTGTGCAAGCTGCTGGCAAAAGGGACCTGACTTTTGCCGACAAGCCTGCGAACTCGGTTGGGATGGCTGCGACATCTCCAGCACCGCCTGGGCACCCGCATGGAAGCCCTGCCTACCGTCTCGTCTACCTGCCATGACAAGAAGCAACCTTGCCCTAAACCCTAAACCCTAAACCCTAAAACCCTAAACCCTAAACCCTAAACCCTAAACCCTAAACCCCTAAACCCTAAACCCTAAGTTGTAAGACCGCCCTTTGCTACGAGTATCCGTGCAGACCCGCCCCGCGCTCCTGCCGCTTCTGCGGCTGCTCTGGCACCCTGGAGGCGGCTTCCGACGGGCCCTGATGGCGAAGAGGCCGTATGTCAATGATTGTTATTATGATTATGATTATTATTATTGTTATTATTATTATTATTATGATTATTATTATTAATAGTAGAAGTAGTAGTAGTAGTAGTAGTAGTAGTAGTATTCATTCAGCAGCGTCGCACAGTATACCTGCACTCGACGATGGGCTGGACAGATCATTGATCCGGCTGCTCTGTGGCAGCATCGTGCTGATTGCACGACTCCATAAGCAAAAACGC